GAATAGACGCTGGGAGAACTATGTGAGGTCCCAATGTGCCTACTTTGAAGGGGACTGAGGCGTCATTGTCCTATGTACTATGTTTCTTGTATCCTCTTCAGTAAATGTCTTTTGTTCATATTACATGGCTGCTTTATGGACAGAACTCGGACAGAAAAAGCATAAATTATAAACAGACACTTCTCAATCTCATCCCTACATCCATTAAGTGTAAAATTTTAGATTTGCTAGAATAGGGGAGCAATATATTGTTTTCATAGTTTATTTCTATGAAATATCTCAAAGGTGTGTCCTCAATGGAACCTCAAACCAAGTTATCAGTTCAGTGGACAAAGTTGCCAGCAGAGCTGCCATCTTTGACAGTTCTAAGAATGGGTAGGGATGGTTTTTCTAGCCAGTGGGCAGATTGTGATTAAATTAGCATCAAGGATAACATCTCCATCTACAAACGGGATGCTGTTATCCGGAGCACGTTCGTTCTTGGATGATAGGTTGCCCGGCCAAGCAGTCAATCAGGGATACCCTTACATCGAGTGCTGCTGTGTTTAAAGTGACCTGAATATATAACGGTTAGTGCACCATGAGTAGTTAAATGTGCATTTTTCCTCAGTTCTCCCAAACCTGGGTGACAGCACCGGGCTGTCAACTGATCACAAGGACTGAGATCATATTGCATGCCACATTGTAAAGTAATTAAACAAGCTAGTTAATATTCTAAGGCAATAATAACTTTCAACTCTGTTTATTAATATTTTTCGTCAGAGCTAGCACAATACCTGAATATAATTCTCACACCTGAGAGATTTTATAACCTTGGATCCACTTTAAGAACACTGCTTACCATTCCTCTTTACAAGAAGAAGCACAGGTCGGCATAGGAGTGACATTGATGGACATGTGCAAACAACCATGGAAGATGTGCACTACGGGTATAATTAAGGGCTGCAGGATCATGGTGGATTTAGTTACAGAGGACATACCAGACGAAATGCATCTATCTAGCTTCTGATTTCAGAAGTCTGCCATGACAGTATGAAGAAGCCCACGTCAGAGATCTGCTTACTTGAGGTACTCGGAGGCCCTGGATGGCGACTGAGGAGTTTTCAGGAACTCTTGGCGAGTTGGATTTGTGGATTTTGCAGTAGGACTCCCCTTTACGGTCCAAACTCTTTTTCCACATTATCTCTTATGTGCATGTTTTGTGGAGTCATTGCTGGAACTGAGCAGACTCAACTGACTTGCACTCTGACCATAGCCACATAATAAGCTGCAAAATCCCTCTTAAAACCACAACATTTCGAGAGCTTGCTCTCATTCTCTCTTACCGACTTACTATGGGATGCAAAACTGGAAGCCAAAGGCTTACATAGCCTCTCCCAGCCAGGATATTGGCTTCTTACTCAAACACTCCCACAAGGCCTCATGGCCTAAAATGGAACTTTGAGTGGGAAGGTTTCTCTTCTTTGTCAGATAATCTTTTCATAGACCATACATATCAAGCTTCTCATGAATCACTGCACTGGGAACTCCCAAGCTCTGGTGAGGACCTGGATCCCATCACAACTGGATTGCTCAAGAGTATGCTTGCAGATCTGTGTGCCAATATAGCTTTGAATATCTCTCAATTTCACACTGCGATTGCATTAGTAGACTCCTCTACTGGTACACATGATGCTAGTCTGGTCTTCAGCAGCTCCAGCATGAGACTAGTGTCGGTGTAGACAACTTGGAGGATCAGCAAAGAGGATATAAGATTTAATAAAGGAATATCAGACACTGTGGATATTACCAAGCTGCCACACTTTATCGCAGGTTATTTTCAGTCTTACTACCACCTGAACAGGCCAAAACTGGACAGCTACAGTGCAGTCTTACCCCACCACCGACTTCATAGTCTCTTTTCAATGGTTTTATATATATTTATGTAACGTGTGTGGGAAAAGTATGATACTTTTCCACACGCTTTAATTGGTTTAAAACAGTGAGCACTATATCCTCTTTTTATTCTTTCATATTCCACTTCCATTGTGAAGACTCAAATAGAAAAATTCCTGTTTAATCCCTGAGTGGGGATTATACCACTCAGAACCTTATCTTTTTCATATTTATCATTTTTATTTATGTTTTGCAATACAACTACATTGCAGAAATATAAAAGAGATATATAGGATACAGATAAATCCAATACTTAATTGCAGTTTGGCAAGAAATTCATATAGATAATTTTCCAACATTTAGCAGATTTTGCGGCAATATGCATATTTACAAAAAAATGAAACATAGATACATATAAAAGGACTACATAGAAAAAGGACTACATCCATTGGGGCTCGATCGATAAAATAGGGAGGTTATATATATCCAAGGGATCGCTTGTTAGGCCTATGGGGTCAGTGAAACTGACCCAATTAACTAGGCCCTCTATTTCATCTTTAAGCTCAATCAAATTGGCTTTTGCTTCTATATAACAGCCAAGGAAGCCATGAATCATGATATGAAATGAATTTGCCAGAGGAAGAAACAAAATTGCAATCCGTTTAGTATTGGTATTCTTTTTGGTTTAAAATTTCTTGCCACATTGGAGGATGGCTAGATTTCCATTTACGGGCAATAGAGACCTTAGAAGCATACAGAATCTGTGTAATAAGATATTTATATTTTTTCTCCATTACCGGGAAATCTAAGTTAAATAGGAAAAGAGAAGGTGAGAGTATTATAGTAACCTGAGTTAAGTCTGATTTCAGAGAAGAAACACGGATCATAGTGTCATTTAGTAACTCTCAATTGTACCATACAGTGCCTAGCAAAAGTATTCACCCCCTTAAATTTTCCCCTATTTTGTTACATTACAGCCTTAAGTTCAATGTTTTATTAATCTGAATTTTATGTGATGGATCCGAACACAATAGTCTAAGTTGGTGAAGTGAAATGAAAAAAATCTATACATTAATTTTTTTTTAGAAATAGAAAACAGATAATTGGCATGTGCGTATCTATTCACCCCCTTTGTTATGAAGCCCATAAAAAGCTCTTGTGCAACCAATTACCTTCAGAAGTCACATAATTAGTGAAATGATGTCCACCTGTGTGCAATCTAAGTGTCACATGATCTGTCATTACATATACATAACTTTTTTGAAGGGCCCTAGAGGCTTCAACACCTAAGCAAGAGGCACCACTAACCAAACACTGCCATGAAGACCAAGGAACTCTCCAAACAAGTAAGGGACAATGTTGTTGAGAAGTACAAGTCAGGGTTAGGTTTTAAAAAAATATCCAAATCTTTGATGATCCCCAGGAGCACCATCAAATCTATCATAACCAAATGGAAAGAACATGGCACAACAGCAAACCTGCCAAGAGACGGCCGCCCACCAAAAACTCCCGGACCGGGGATGGAGGGCATCACAGAGACCTAAGTTAACCCTCGAGGAGCTGCAGAGTTCCACAGTAGAGTCTGGAGTATCTGTAGATAGGATGACAGTAAGCCGTACGCTCCATAGAGTTGGGCTTTATGGCAGAGTGGCCAGAAGAAAGCCATTACTTTCCGAAAAAAACAAAATGGCATGTTTTGAGTTTGCGAAAAGGCATGTGGGAGACTCCCAAAATGTATGGAGGAAGGTGCTCTGTTCTGATGAGACTAAAATTTAAGTTTTCGGACATCAAAGAAAACGCTATGTCTGGCGCAAACCCAACACATCACATCACCCAAAGAAAACCATCCCCATGTTTTTCAGCAGCCGGGACTGGGAAACTGGTCAGAGTTGAGGGAAAGATGGATGGTGCTAAATACAGGGATATTCTTGAGCAAAACCTGTACCACTCTGTGCGTGATTTGAGACTAGGATGGAGGTTCACCTTCCAGCAGGACAATGACCCCAAACACACTGCTAAAGCAAAACTTGAGTGGTTTAAGGGGAAACATGTAAATGTGTTGGAATGGCCTAGACAAAGCCCAGACCTCAATCCAATAGAAAATCTGTGGTCAGACAAAGATTGCTGTTCAAAAGCGCAAACCATCCAACTTGAAGTAGCTGGAGCAATTTTGCAAGGAGGAATGGGCAAAACTATCAGTGTTAAGATGTGGCGAGCTCATAGAGACTTATCCAAAGCGACATAGAGCTGTGATTGCCGCAAAAGGTGGCTCTACAAAGTACTGACTTTAAGGGGGTGAATAGTTATGCACTTTGATTAAATACAGTCGGGTCATCTGCCCAGAATATAGTGTATAAGTTACCATACGGGTAATTATCTTGTTCATTCTGGAACCAGGCATTATTTTGAACATTTAATTTTCGTCCAAACCATTAAATTAGCAACTAGACATGTTAGATGTACACTCAGAGCGATGTACACTCAGAACCTTATCTAAGAGCTGATTGGAGGCTCTATCCTTGTGAGTGTTTTTGAACATACTGGGTTGCACTATTGGTTTTTCCTTTCTGCTTATATTTTACATGAGATGCCAATAACAGAACTCCCTACCTCAATCAAAACCTAATTTATTTGAACACCAAGGAGGATCTTTGGTCTACACTAAATCGATACTTATTTCAACTTATACTTGGTGCAAACCTGTTTTTTCTGCACTCTTCTGGACATTGATCTTAAATTCCTGGGAATTTATTTAAGCCACTGCCCCAACTTCGGAGTCACAGCCCCAAGTGCTCCTATCACAACTATATATACACACACACACTACATATATATACACAAACACATATACACACACTACATATATACACACATACACACACTACATATATACACACTACATATACATACACACACACTACATACATATACAATTATTGCATTTTACATAACCAAGTTCCTGAAGGCTTGACGAAGCTCTCTTTCTGGTCGTGGTGTATATGTATGGTATATGGAGGATTTCCATCGACCCAGTCTCTTGATGATGTGGACCGTGGTGTTTGTGCTAGATGCTGATGAAGCGGCTCCTATGCGGAAGGAGTGCCCAGAGAATGAAGCTGGATTGTAACACAGTTTAGATAGTAACGATCTGACGTGTGCCGTGAATTTAGCCGTGGTGAGCGGGTGCCCTTGTAGTGTTAAGAGTGGAGAGTCTGGTAAGTGCGCGTGATGGGTTGACCAGAGGTGGTCTAGCGCCTTGACCGGACACCAAGCGTTATCAGTAGGAAAGAGAGGAATGATGGTGGGGTGTTGTGAGTGATTAGTTTTAGTTGATGGGAGCGTGAGTACATAGTGATCTTCTACCTTAGTGAGGTGTGAAGCTTTGAGGCTGTGCATGATATCCCCTTGGCAAACAACGATGAACTCTCTGGGTCTGAGAAAACCGTAGAAAGCAAGATAGATAACAGATTTAATCACCAGGTTTGTGTTGGGATCGAACGGGGATTCGTCAAGGAGATTGCTGAGTGCTCTAAAGATAGGCCCATCTATAGGCAGTCTTGTGGTGGTGAGTGGAACGGAAACCCATAATATACCTTTCAAGACCTTTTTAATGGGGTATGATGACAAGAAGGGGGTATTGTTAGGAAAATTGGTGAGGCTGTGGTGCTGAACCCCGGTGAGGTAAAGTTTAATGGTGTTGTGAGAAAGTTTAAGATGTAAGTGGCAGAAAGAGGCAAAAGCCACCATGGTTTGTACAGAAAAATCACCTTGTAAACCGAATTCTGCAGTGAATTTATTAAAAATGGTAAGTGCCCTATTGTAGGAGATAGCTGTGCTTAGGTGATGGTGCTTGGTGAGTGAGAGTCCTAGCGTGGTGCATTAGTGTGCTCAATCCAGGATTAGTTTGTGAAATCGTGGTGTCCTGGATGACTGGTAGGGAGTGCCTGGAAGAATACCTGGAATTGAGAGCGAGAAAGAGCGTCAGCAGCCGTGTTGTGGATACCTGGGATGTGAAAACAAACTAAGTGAAACTGGACGGTTGCTGACAGCCATGTCAGCTAGCAAATCAGCCGCATGATGGTAAGGGAAGATTCGCAAGCCGCCGAGTTGTCAGAATAGCATGTTACTGCCTTGCCGAACCAGAGATGATCCCAGGTGTGTGCGGTCGCCACAATGGGATAAATTTCGAATAGGGCTGATGTCTCCCTGAATCCTGGCAAGGCCTCCGTCTCAGCGGGCCAGTGACCCCTGAACCAGTGGATCCCGAAGATGGCTGCGAAACCAGTGTTGGCTACAGCGTCTGTGTGAAGAAATGGAGAGAGGGGGGATAAACATGGAGATACCAATCTGCCAAAAACTTCCCCCACATAGCTAAGTCAGCCTTGGCGTGGGGATCCAATGAAACTGGGCAGGAGTCTGGTACCCCGTGGAGCAGGCAGAGAAGCCTGGATATAAATGACCTTCCCTGCGGAATGATGCGCATGGCGAAGTTAAGGCATCCCAGAAGGGACTGAAGTTCTCTTTCGGTGCATACGTCACTCCACAGGAACATGTCTATCTCCCCTCTCAAGCGGATCAGTTTGTCATGGGGAAGGCTAGCCCGGAGGGTAACACAGTCCAGCTCTATCCCCAAAAAAGATAGTTTAGTTGTGGGGCCGATAGTTTTTGATGGGGATAATGGTACACCAAGTGTGGAGAAAAGTGCTGAAGTACTGTGGATAGCGGTGGGTGTTTGTGCCCCTGGTTCTATCAGTAAGAAGTCGTCTAAGTAATGGATGACAGAGTGACATCTGAGGACGTTCAGAAGCAGCCAGCAAAGAGTCTCAGCGAAAATATCAAACAGTTTGGGGCTGCTTCGAGAACCGAAAGTGAGTTGTGTGGAAAAGTAGTACTTTTCTCGCCATTTAACACTGTGCAAATGCCAGAGTGAGGGGTTTATGGGAAGTAATTTGAAAGCGTTTGTGATGTCCGTTTTGCTGAGCCAGGGGCGACTACCAGTTGAGATAATGGATTGTATGGCATCGTCAATTTTTACGTACTGAAGTGAGAAATCGTCTGCGGGTATAAGTGCGTTAATGCTGGGAACAAAAGAGGAGTGCAGTGCCGATAAATCAATAATTAGCCATTTTTTATTAGAATACTTGTAAACTGCGATACCGATGGGATTAGCGCGCCATGAGGAAAACAGTGAGGAGGTGAAGGGGCCGATCATGAAACCGCTTGAAACTTCGGAGGAAAGGAGAGTATCTGTAGAAACTGGATCTTGGCATGCTGACAAGAGGTTGGGACACTCCAGTTTGCCTGAGGGGATGGCTACAAGACCCGTGAAGAAACCCTGTATGAACCCCTTAGTCAAACACTCCACCAGATGCCTGCTAGGGTGTGCACTTAGGTAAAAAAAACAGGTTGTCGACATTGATATCGGTTAGTCACTTGGTATATGCCATAAAGCATATGGAGCAGATGTGCAACAATCTACAGGCGCTGAAACTGCAGGAGCCTGCGTTGAAATTATTGCACACCTGAGCTTTACCTAAAAAGGAGATGGGCCTACCCAGCTTATCCCGCTGACCACCCGCTGATTTACTGTGAGGGGTGAAAGAGGGATGAGGGGTGGGAGTGGAGGTGGTATGATGGGCTTCGGAGGGGCATAAATCCACCGTATGAGATGTAGAATTACATACGGCGCAAGACGGGGGCCTGAGACCAGCGAAGTGGCGACAGAATAATTCTGTATCCATCTGACACCAGTTAATTCTGACATTAAACGGTTTCAGATTGGTCGCCGCCTTCGCTGATACCAACTTATGATAATCGTAAAAAGAGGAGCCCCCGTACTTGATGCCTAAATCCACCACCTTGTGGAGCTAGAGGTCTAGCTCTTCTCTTCTGTGGGGATGCACCGTGCAGATGACATCACAGTATATCCCGAAGGCTATCACAAACTGAGGGATGGATAGTTTCTTGTTAAGCCTAGGGTCTCTAATCTTAAGCACCACTGAGATGTCCCCGTAATTGTATGCTCTGTTCTCCAGTACGTCTTGGGAGGCTATGAGCAGAGACACCAGACACACATCCTTCCCGTCTAGTATTTCTTTCCTGATGGAGTCTGGGACGGAGTGAGCTGGTGACTCGAAAGGAGATATAGCTGTGGCTGGTGCTGGGGAGGGGAGTGTGGGGGGGCATGGTGGTACAGCAGGGACGGCCGGGGTGGAGGCTGTGAGGCCTGGGGTGTTACCTGGGGAGGCGATGGCGCTCTCCACCTTAGCTAGCCTGCTTTTCAAAGTCTGCAGGTTGGCCAAGATTGCTGTTAGGGTATCCTGAGTGGCCCTGCCAGCTGTCCTTGAGAGCTAGTGCCTGGCCTAGGTTCAGGGGCTTGGTAGGTGAGCAGTCTGTAAAGTTCCACCTTTCTAGCCGTAGCTGGAAAGGGGATTCCCCTGAGCCTAACTTCGGCCGTAATTTTAGGGATAGTCCATGCTCTCAAGGACGTGGGAGTTGAGGGGGTAAGAGATTCGCATGGAGACTCTGGTCTGATGGGCGTAAACGGGATCTCTTTGGGCAACTCATCGATGGGAGCTGGTTTCTGAGACATTCTAAAATGAATTAGTGAATGAGATATTAGAAGGGGCGTAGGAGAACCAGGAAGGATATGAGGGGGGTCTTTTAGATGAACTGGACTGTAATGCTAGTGCCGAAGCGAAAAACGTAACTGTGAATTGGTGATAGGAGGCCCTGCTAATGCCAAGTGGCGGTGAGAGGCTCTAACTATGATTTGGCTTAGGGAAATTCGTGGCCACAGACGTGGTGGCGGGGTGCTGGCCTTTTGGTAACTGTTAAGAGAAACAAAATGTGTGGCCGTGACAAGTGAGGCCCTGACTGTAGCCCTGTAGAAGGGCGAGTGAGGCATCTAACTATGATTTGGGCATGGGGCCGTACCTCCGTGTTGAGGTGGGAGATGGCCTTGCGGGACCGGATTTTACTTGGGTGAGCTAGGGGCCAGATCCTAGACCCTGTAAGCCAGTTCAACTTGTATCCTATGGGTTAAATGGTAATTCTGTTGCAATGTGTGGATACTAACCTTGAAGGTGGTTATAACCGGAGAACTTGAACCTTCGAGTGTTTTTTAAGTAGAGTGGCTTGGCCGCTGCTGGTATCATAGAAGAAGCCTAGGGGTTAAGACAGATGCTGATGTGTTTGAGCGTAACGTAGGGGCATATGTTTAGTAGTAGGGGTTGGCTATAGGAGCGTAACATGAGATCCTGATGTGAGGGATCTGAATGATTAGTCTAAGACTGGGACGAGTTTACGTTGTAGGGTAGGCTGATTGAGGCCTTGCGGTAGCGAGTGCTATAACGAGTAAGAGCGTAAGTACCTAGGTAGTGTAGCTGGGTACTAGGTTAGGTATGTTGGGTAGTTTCTTGCCTGAAGGCAGTATGACCGTATGCCTAAGTAGAAAAATGTAGAGAATTTAACACAACAAGGGCGTAGGGCCATGAGCTAAACGTAATAAATAGAGGCCACTTAAGGTGTTGTATGAAATGTCCCGTGATGAGTAGAGAACTATACCTTGATTTGTTGCACAGGTACATGGATGAGCGTAAGTGGTTTTTTTACGGAGAAACCGGAGGAGGCCTAGAATAAAGGGAGGCCTAGAATAAAACTGAAGCTATAGATTGAACCCATTGAGTTTAACAATTAGCGAAGGCTGTGACAGTATGTTTAAATAACCACTTTATTCTATGGCAAGTTTAGAGTGCATGCTGCTTGAGGCCTTGACATGGTTGAAACTGAAATGAGTAAATACTATACCTGGATTTGTAAATACAAGGACTTGAATTTGATAACTTTATGCAGAAAAAAAAAGACAAACGAGGCGATCTGTGGAGCCAAAGAAATGTAACAAAGGCTAAATTAAATGACTACGTAAACTAGGGAGAGACCATAGCGAAATAAAATGAAATTTAGGGTTTAACAGTATAACCCAAGAGGATCGTGTTATTAGTTAGTATATGTTTGTAATGTTGTACAGGGTTGGCGTGGAGTTGAAGAATTCTGCCAATTTATTTGGGTGTCAGGGGGATTTAATTTAGTTGACTAATGAACCTCAAAACATAGTTTAATTAATTCCATAGTTGTAGGAAAAATTAACCGAGTACTAAGATAAAATGACATAAACTGAGGTTTTAATATTTTAAACATAGTTAAATCGGGAAACACAGGTTTGTTGGTACATGATTAAAGTAATAAACGGATTTAATAACTCATACTGACAGGTGTAATACAAACAGTTAAATAACCGAACAGGCAGTATATACAAATATGTGTTTTATATAGTTCGTGTGCACGAAATGCTAATATTTGCATGAACAGGGATCGGTAGTTTTAGACCGTGCGGGAGACCTGTTTTAATTAAGTATAATGTGCATTTGTCTGACTCCGCACATATAGGATTATAGCATGAATCAGGAAGTATGCGAGGGATGAACAGAATATTGTGCGAATCACTAAATGTCCGAACGGGTAAGTATATGTGAACATAGTTTGTTCGTATGCACGAATGGCATAAAAAAATTATAACGAATTGCCCCAGAGTTTTACCCGAACGAGGGTTGGCAGTTTGGACCGTACGAAGGACCCATGAACCGTAAGTATAGCCAGTGTTCGACTAATTTAGTCGCGCGAACGCGGAGATGCACGAACAGGTAAGTAAAAGTGAACAGGTAATGAAAAAGCAAAGGGGGGCCTACCCCTACGTTTTTAGGCCCGAACGCTATTTCCCTCATTAGCTTACGTGAGCGTGACGGTCTCGTGACCGGAAGCCAAGTACTGCGACCGGGGAGAAGACGGGTGGCAGACTGCAGAACGGCCGGAGAATTTCGGCTGGATACTTCTGCTGCTGGAGACTGGAGCTGTTTGGCGGGAAGCTCAGACCGGAAGTGTTGGTTGCTAGGAGACAATCAAGCTGTATCGGCAGAGGTGAGTAGGGGCTGGGAGTTTAAGTAGGGGATTTACTCTTCCCACAAATTCAGGCCTAATGGCCTTTCTACATACATACACACACATATATATATATATACATACACACATATACATAAACACATATATACATACATATACACATACACACATATACATACACATACATACACATACACATACACATACACACACACATATATACATACATATACACACACATATATACACAAACATATACATACATACATACAAAATAGTTGTCAGTGATAGCACTCCAAGGACTATAACTAAAATATAACTTTTATTACCTCCACTAAAACAGTACAGTCAACGTTTCAGCTTGATCCCCTCAAGCTTTAGTCAGGACATGAAAGCTTGAGGGGATCAAGCTGAAACGTTGACTGTACTGTTTTAGTGGAGGTAATAAAAGTTATATTTTAGTTATAGTCCTTGGAGTGCTATCACTGACAACTATTTTGTATTTTTGGCTGACAAGCACCGGGCACTTAATTTGGAACTGGTGGAGTGCAAGATTTATTGGATTTTTTATATATACATACATATACGCATATACATATATATACACATATATATATATATACACACATACAAACACATATATACATACACACACATACATACATACATACATACACACACATATATATATATATATACATACACACACACACACATTTATGCATGTTCAGGTGAGTGCAGCCAACCCCCCCCCCCTTGTTTCATATATATATATATATATATATATATATATATATATATGTATGTATGTATATACATATATATATACATATATATATATATATACACACATATATATATATTTGGGAGTCTAGCCAATTCCCTGGTTTTGCACCCCTCCCTGTCACAGGTGCCTCATCCCAGGGCCCTATTTAGCCTTGTACTGCAGAGAGCCCCAATGGAATTTTTTTCCCCAAGTAGGTTAATCTCATAAGAGCAGACATTAAGCTGTTAGTGTAAGACCTGCCAAAGATGGGGTACATTGACGTTGTGGCAGGCTTATGCAATGTATGATCATATAATGTAACCAAACCCCCATTATTTTTGCCTAGATT